TCCCCTCCCTCTCTGACACACACACACACACACACATAGAAAAGACTCCCTCCTTGTTAATCTCCCAATGAGATGTTTACCAAATCCTCCTTGTTGACAGCCTTCCATTCGAGTTTGTCTGAGCAACGTTAAAGATGGAAACACAGGCAATAAATTGATCTTTCAGATTGATTCAAAGGCACAAAAAAAACCACCCCACAAGGCATGTGTTGCCCTTGATTTTGAGAGGATCATTCACAGGTGGTGCTGAGTCACACCTGTCCTCCCCAGCTCTCTCTTTCTCTCTTTCTCTCTCTCTCTGGAGGTCAGGGCTTTTTCCAGATGACAGGGTTAGAAGAGGGTATAGCTGAGATTTAATACTGCCTGATATGCTGAGGACAGGGAACACAAATCTCTGCAGAACAAAACACCATGAACTCACAGGGGGAAGCTGCTGCGTAGTGAAAAACCCATCCTGTTATCATAAAGACACTTCAGCCTGTTTTCTTGGAGGTTTTTTTTTTTTTGTCACCTGTGCTGACGCATGTGATGGGTTGTCTGTGCACAAACCAGGAGGTGGTGACCTTGCTAGCAATGCTAAATTAAGGTGTAATCCCTGAAAGCGTGTTATTAATACCTTCCTTTTGGTTGGCGTTTTAAACATTCACATTTGTTTGCTGACAGCCCTAAAGCACTTGGTCTGAATGAGGTTATGCGGGCAGCCGGTCTGTTTTTCCACCATGTGTGTATTACTGCTCCTGGCTTTTAATCTCACCTCCCCTTGGACCTGGTGTACCAGCCTAATCCCTGGCTGGGTGCATCTCTCTCTCTCTCTCTCCGAGTGACCTCCCAAGGCTTTTGGCCACTGAAGAGCAGATGGAGAGTGTCTTGTGGCCTAGATACGTCCGCCTAAAACCAAGACTGTGAAATTGGTGACATGCCTTAGACATGATTGGTTTTGGCAACAAAACCACGCAGGGACGGGAAGGGACCAGACAGATTGGCCATAACATAAACACACAGATTGCGTGCAGATGAAATGGTCTCAGTGGAGACTCAACTCAGATTCATACTGTATGAGCTGAAGGAGGAAATGAGGGCTCGCTCGGACCCTGTTGTCCACTAGACTGTTTCATAACTGCTGAGGGTCGTCACCACAGAGGGCTTTATTTCTGGGGGTGAGAGCAGAGGAGTGAGAGGCAGACAAACAGCTCTCCATCTTGTAATTAGAGGAGGAATAACGATATCCTTTGTGTGAGAGCTATTCAGGGAACAGAGAGAGCGGGAGGACAAAGCAGACCATCGCTGCTCTCTGTGTACCCTTGTTGTCGTTCTCATTTAACAGGGTTGGGTCACTGCCTGCGCTCGAAGCCTTAGGCTGGCCCTCAGCTGGCAAACAGTGTCACCCATCCTTGTCAACTCACTAACTGACAGACATTCATTTCCGCCAGTTAGTGTTTCTTTGATTTGTTGTTCCACTGACCTATTTCTCCAGAATAGATACTTCAACCAGACACATGAAGTTTGGAAATAAAAGGTGAGAAGTGGAAAACTGTCTGGAAACTCTTCATAGGAGGAGGAATACAAGATGGGTTGTGTACTGCAGTGATTTTCCCAACTAGGAGTACTTGTACCCCGGGGTGTAATGCTGCAGTTGCCAGTACATGGATATCTCAACTGTCACGCTTGTCGAGCTGCAGGAACACAGAGAACTGAACCCAGATGCAGACTAGGGAGGCAGAGCTGGTGCGGTTCAGATGATTTAATAAAAAAACATAAAGTCAGGGAACAAAAGGTTACAGAGAGTCAAGAAGGCTCAGGTTACAACCAGGTAAGGCAAAAGCAAGAAACAAAGGTAAAGAGGAGTAAAGGACACAGACTGGAAACAAAATGAAGAAATGCAAAGACTAAATACAGGCTGGGGCAGACAATCCAAACTGGCGGGAAACACACAGAGTAAAACAGGAAATAACTCAACTAAAACCCAAAACCATGACATCAACTAGTTAAACCCACAGTAGGTAATATACTTTAGACACATTTTTTGTTATATTTGTTGAAATTCTCATTACATCCTGAAGGAAATAAAAAAAAGTGCTCTGAAAAAAAAAAAAACTGGTATCTGTAGCAGTCACAAGCCTGTGATAAGCCCAGTCTGGCTACCTTGCTACCTGCAGAGTCACAAGCTGGCCAGACAGATATTGCCCTTTAGATTTCCACCTTTACCTAATAAAATTTGCACTAAGCAGAAAAGGCTACAAACAAAAAGTTTGGATAATAGGTCAGTTG